CCGACCGACCTCTACACGTGTTAGTTTTGTTATATAAATACATATTCCGGAGTGAGCCCCGTTTGCTTTGACCGCGGAAAACATAAGGCGCGCCCTTGACACCTACATTATAGCAAACATTAAAATATATATCGATAAGTAACAAGACAGCAACAGATCGACAAAACGGACATGATTATAAGAGGAATGTAAAGTCAATAAAGTCCTTTATAGCGCAGGTCTCGAACCTTTATTTTTACCAGTTTTTTAGGATTTCAGGAAAACAAAAGTGTAACTTACAACTAAATTGAAGAACCAATAACTAAGAACATTATCAAAGATTAACGGTTGCTCTACAGTTATTTTCACGGGCACCGCATTGAAATAATATAAGGTATTAACGTATCTCGCTCCTCATAAATTGAAATCCGTCAAGAAGTGTATAATATAGCGCCGGCTAAGGAATTAGACATAGCTTTGGAAGAGCCACACAACAGCCTTCGCCGATGCACGAATGGACAGGTCCATCCAGAAGTACCACGAACTAACACAAGACGGTTATACTTCTGCTTTCGTCTGGTGAGTAAGGTAGCCAAGGTACACTTAATTAAAAGGTGATAACGCTTCTTCAACCCTACTGATGTTGCAAATGTCCATGGGTTATCACTTAACATCGGGTGAACCGCCAGTTCATTTATCCTTCTCCTTCTCACATAAAAAAACAAATATTGCTCTACAAACATTACCCTCCAGCGAAAGTCGGGTTAAAAGGTGTCAGACAGTGATGACCGTAAATTTGCGTATCGCGAATAATATTTAGTAAAGTTCTGGTAGTGATAAGTTCTGTAAAACCAGGACAACGGAATCTTCACCATTAGAAACAAAAGTTAACTATAACAGTAGTTTATACTTGTACTATTACTACCTCCAAACAGCAAAACGTGTCAATTAAAAGTTTGACGGTACAGAAGATATTATTTGTTACAGATTTTTTTTCACATACTTTTTGAAATACCGCTTACCCCATAATAACTTAACATAGATATTCGTAATATAAAGATGGAAGAGAGCAACGACATTTTAGTAAATTTATTATTTCTTCCATTTTAATAGCATTTTATGCAGTATCTGCGAAACCTTTATCATCTTGTGAAATGACCATTATAATATTTATCACACTTTAAAACGTCACATTTATATCAATGCTTCTTCTTTCTTTCGATTACGATAAATTAATAAATTCTGATAAATTATCGGTTATTGTCCTACCTGAGAGAATCCTGTTTGGGGTTCGATTTAATACTCAAGCTCAACTGTAGGTGAGGTTGAGTATTAAATCGACTTTTTTACTTACTCTACTTTACATAAAACTACTTACAACAGCTTCTTAAAAAATGTTTATACTTAAATATTCTCCAAGTTGAAAAGTGACAACTTGTTGTTTATACGTCTGCGTTGTCGAAAGCGGCTCATACGCGACATTGGCCCAATACAAAACTGAACTTTGCACCTAAATCGCAAGGACGCTCGATCGTGAACGGGAAAATTGTGCTAAACGCACTGAATTCCGCACCGCATTGGCAGATTGATTGAATTCTAGCCCGGACTTCGTACCGCCACGCGCTCTCCGGCTGACAGTAAGTTATAAATAGTTCTGTTCCACCGATACGCACCGGAGATGATTTGTTGACGTTTTGATGTTTTGTTTACTACTTAAAAGCGGAGACATATAGTAACCCTAGCGAACGAGGTTGTGGGCGTGCAGGCTTGCAAAAAGGCGAGATTTACGGCGAGATAACTAATCAGCAGCCAAATGGCTTTTCAAATGTTATTTAAGTTGCCACAAGGATGGTTAAAGTCTCTGAATTGATCACTACGATGATCAGTGTTTCAGAAACCAGGCGTTAGAGATGGACTAGTAAGAGCCATAAATTTTTAACTGTACATTTACTTTAGAATTTGGTTTTTTGCTTGTCACGACTTTGAGACTTTTTTAGACTGCCATAATAATTTTTAAAAGGTAACTAAGAGTTCCTAAACTAACTACAAGCAACCGTTCAATATTCATGATTATGATTGTGTGAAATCATTTCATAAATGTTTTCACCATTGGAAACTTCTAAAAACGCATCTGCAAACCCTTGGGTATAGCAGATGTCCCTGGGCGGTGGTATTTACTTCACATCAGGTGAACCATCTGCTCGTTTGGCAACTTGTCACATAAAAAAAAATTGTATATAGAAATGATTACTTGTTTCTGCTTTACACTCATTCAATTTTATATTTTCTCAAATAATTTCTAAAATTTTATAATTTATACTTCGATTTGGTTTTTAAACTTTTAATTTGATACGAAGTGACGAATCTATACGTAATGTACACGTGTTTAATTTATAAAATTTAATTTATAAAATCATATAATGTCATACATGCAAAATCTATTACTTATTAATCATTCTATTTTTTAATTCTTCTACTATTTATTTATATACACAACTACTTTTTTAATTATTTAATAATACGTAATATTAATACCGGAACATAATCGAGATTTGGGAGTCTAGGCTTATGTTAAACGCAGGTATTATTGCGTCAGTCAGTCTGACACATGTGATATCTCTTCAAGTGAAAGATACAGAAGTCAACTATATAACCTACTTAAATAATGGCTATCAAAAGACCTTATTCTGCATTGGGCTATGTAAAATCATTTACATCTGGCGACAGCATTCGACACTATTCCTGCCCCACTACTTCTTAAGTAATTCGAATACCTAGTAAAAGTTATAGGAGGTAAATGCATTAAAATTATTTGCAAGCTACCTAGAAAAGACTAATCAGCATATAACGTGATAAGCGATCTGTCTACTTAACTAATAGGGAGTTCCACAAGGAAGTATACACTGGCCAACTTTATTTATAATCTACGTAAAGAGTTTGTGCAATCTTAGCTTTATGATAGACGATTGTTTGCATATTGTCAATGATACAGTCTTAGTTTTTCATAGCTTATTATGGAATGAATGAAATCATATCGTCGGAAAAAATTGGCTGTGTTCTTTATCTACTACAGAACTTACGAACAATGAATATAAAAAGATGCACAACTTTTACATTTTCTGTTACGCGACACATTCGCCCATAACCAGATTCGCACTTCGTGTTCGCATATCAGACTAGAAACTCTAAAGGTAATAAAATACCTTGGACACTATATTGAAAACTTACATGGAAGCACCACACTGAAACACTAATCGAAATGATTCGTAAGCGTATATTCTATTCAAACACTTAATAACCGACATTAACTTTAAATTGCTACTCTATACGCCTAGATGAAAAAAGTAAGAGTCTCATCCCGAGCTGGTACTCCAAAATAAATACATGATCCACATTAAAAGAGAACTACGCACAGTTTCAAAAGTAATGTTATTTAAAATTTTCATATAATACAATTTTGTTCTGACTTAGATGTCCCAACAATTCCACAGTTTGTTTTTTTTAAAACTGTCCTGTCAACCTGCTTCTTCATTCAAGGACCACCTATCTTCTAAATTACCGAAGAGGAGCGTAAATTTTCAGGAATTAACCATTTCTTTCATCATTTGTTCAACACCGTATTATCTTTTTAAACTCTTATCCGCCTTGCTAAGCGTTACCCTAAAACTACTTTGTTTGGATAAGTTAACCTATTGCAAATATATTTATTAAAGTGATTAAAATAAGAAATATAGATGGTATCTCTTGAAATATTAAAAACAATCTCTACTCAGTCTCGAGTAAAACCTACATTTCATTGATTTTTCATTTGAAGAATGTTAAAAGACATTTGAATATTCTAAGATAAGTTAAATATGACGAGAATGTTGTGTGGAAACAAAAGGACATGTGATATATTCCACTAATACGCTTTCATTTATAAAATTAATTTGATAATCTTAAATAACTAATATTTATTTTTTGGATTCAGAAAACAGTGAACTTTTGCGAGGCCTTTAACGATCTTAAAAGTTTGGCGAGTTCTTTATAGACCTCGTTTGTTCATCTACAGCCTAGGTAAAAAGATGTCAAGTTATACTTCTTATAAACAAACTTCCAATCAGCAATTGTGTACTCTGGAATGTGGAGAAGGTCAAACATACGATACATCGTGGAGTGTGCGTTTACTACAATGTTTATCTCATTACTATTGTCTCTATAATTACTGATCTCCGACAATGTAGTGACGTTGCTTATAAGCATTAGATGGATAATTCTGATCAATTCAGAGAGTTTAACCATCCTTTTGGCAATCAGTGATGATCAGTGTTTCAAAAACCGGGCGTAAGGCTGCGATTTCAACCAAATGTAACCATTTTTGGTTAATCTGATATCCGGAATTAGATTTTATATGAAGCAGACTCGGGCAATATACGAAAATATATATTCAGAACGGATTGCGTTAATATAATTATTAGTTTTATAACAAATAGTTCAATAGATAACTTTCTAAATACAGTTTATATTTTCGAAATTAAAGGTGACCAAGGTTAAGTATAAAATTAAAATTTTTGTTTTGTCATCAACCAAATATGTATTGCCCGTTTCTAAAATATTCTCAAAGCCAACAGGTGCGGATATTACATGATTAACGAATGTTAACTACCTCTAGATGATGGATCCATCAGATATATTAATTATAAAATTCCTAGAGTTCAAGGCACCTCATAAGATAATTATAATAAAGCACGAGATTTAAATACAACGAAACGGAATCAACGATGAGAAAACTGTATCAAAATATTCCCGCTTTCAATGGCAAAAATTTTTTTCGCAATATTATACAGTGTGAAATGAAACAGTAGCCAGAGTTAACTATGACATTAATGCGTGAAACAACTCAGTTTGTCCCATGACTATGAACGCTGGGAAGTGTTCGAAAAGTCGGGAATTTAAAAATATAATTACACTTAACAAAACCCGTAAAACAGTTTCATTTCACAATCCTCTCGAAACAATCATTGAAACGGAATCATTCTCACTTTCGACGGGGAAGATGATCTTCTGCTCCGTCCTGCCGTAGTAGTCGTCGAACTCCGGCGGCTTCTCCGACCCGCCGCTCAGGGTCTGGCCCTGAGATACGGGCATCGGGAGGCTGTTCACGGGCACCGCCACCGCCGGCTTCCTGCTCAGCCGCAGCTTCCTGAGTATCTGCTGCTTCACGTACTCTATGCGGGCGTTCGTCAGCTCGGCCACCGTCAGCTCGCCGCTAACGCACGGCGACTGCGCCGGGTAGTGGGCGGCCGCGACCGCCAGGTACATCAGCACTCGCGGCAACATCGCCGAAACGCTCGGCACTCGGCTCAAGTGGGGGCGCATGCGTGCGTCCTGTGCGACGGTCGATGCTCGACTGATGGTGACGCTGCGAGCCGCCTCTGATATAGAGGCGCGTGCTCGTCTCCCGCCGCGCGGGCTGTTCCGCCGCGTCTCGAGGTCAGCGATACTAAGCTGGACAATGGACCTCAATAGACAGGTCTAGGCACGCGATCTAGGTTCATCATAATATAGGACCCGTAGCTTCGCTGTTCAGGTCGTGGCACTCGTGACATTGCGTTCGCATATGCGCGCGACCTACCCCTACGTTTATTGACCTCAACGCGAACCGTACGTGCATTATTTGCGTCGCACATCACCTAAGCTGTTGGGAGCGACGCAAGATCTCCCGAAGATTGTTAAGAAAGTTAAGTGCGCGCCTTATCTGAACGCCGTAACGATTCTGAAGAACAATGCAGTGAAATCCGGGGTCAAAGTCTATACCAGAGTCCCATGCCCGGCGCGTGATGACTCGCGACGTCGCGCATTCGCCCCTGACTAAGGAAGTTTCTATATGAGTTTCACACGCTCCCCGAAGCCTGTACGAGTTGGTTGTACTACATTTAATTTGCAGCGCAAAGTCCACTCGAGTCGGATTTTGCAAGAAAAGCCGATTGTTGCTTCATTGTGAATACTAATTATAGAACAATACCGATAGCTATCTATACATTGAACGTAGAAGGGCCATCGATCAATCTACCTTTCTATGAATTAAATGAAATATCCAAAGCCTACTCTTCTAAAATGAGTATGGATGATTCACAGGGCTTTTAAGTCCCAAAACATGACGTGGTGTGAGTCTGTATTTGCCGTGCAGATATCTCTATATATATAATAATAATATAGTGATCTTTGCACTATATTATTATTATGTAAGTTTACAGATCACTATCACCGTAATTCTATCATCCCCAATCTACATCAGTGCATTTAAATAATTGACAATGAATTGACGCTAACTAATCAACAAACAATGAACGATGCATCAGAATGAAGATTCTTCTTCTTCTTCTAAGAAAGTTGGCGGTCCATATGATATCGCCAATGACACAAGAGAATGAAGGTTTTTCCTAAACAGTTGATATATCTAATACCTTTAAAGGAGCAATTCTTGTATATACATATAATCGGAGTATCGGAAACGGCTCCAGCGATTTTTATGAAATTTAGTATGTGCGTAGATTCGGAGGCGAAAAATCGATCTAGCTAGGTTTCAATTTTAGGAATTGTCCTTTTATCCCTGTTCTCAGAGAATGAAAAATATCATTCGAATGTGACGATAAATTTCGCCGAAAACAATGTTATAAAAGCCAGGTCGGTAATCGACCCCGAAACAGAAGGCTGCGGTTCGTGTCACGATCATTTACACACTTTTTTTTCTATACCAGATCATTGCTTTCTTTATTTTTTATTTTTTTTAATTTCCAAAATACATGATTTACCAAAAAAAACCGAGCACAGCTCGGCCCTCCAAGTACTAACATTAAAATGACAAAAATGATTACTCATCACTTTCATTGACGTCTGGTGAAAAAGCTAGTCCCACCAAATATACAACTTTATTAGATTGAACCTAGATACTAAAATAAAACTTTATGCAGTACTCAGTACTTTATGTATATTTTAAGTTTTTTACAATATTAATCATCTAAGCCTAATTTACGAAAAAAGTTATAACATACTTGAGTAAAAAAATCGTTTATATAAATCAATATTATTAAGATTACATTCAGATTATTATATACATATACATTCTTATATTATATATATACATCATTATATTTATTTTTATGTATAAACCCAACCAGACGGGAAAACAAATAAATATCCCATAATAAAAATTAAAAGAATAGACTATGCAGTTCACGGTAAAAATAAAAAATGTAGAACGACTTAAAAAATTTCACAAGGAAAGAAATTGATATCAGGCGCTGTCTCAAAACATCGATTACCGGAATTTCGAGAGAAAAGTCCCGAAATTTATGAAACCGGCTCAATCCGGCATGCATTGTTCGTTACGACTCTTATCTGAATTGATTAGTAATATTATATGGTTATCGTATAAAGATAGCCCTATGTTTTAATTTAAGTTTTTTTTATTTGCAATCTGAACAATCTTGTAGTTTGGTTTATAAATGAAACTAGTTTTACGGATTTATCGCATTTATTTTAATTTTAATTCTCGACGTTTTGAACCCTTTACAGCGTTCATGGTCACGGGACAGACTAAGGTGTTGGACGTCTAATTGTCATAACCCGGGCTACCGTCTGCCTGTCTGTATTTGAATTATTGATTTTGAATGAATGAATATTTCTTTAGTTTCAACAAACACAGTTATGTTAACAATTAAAAGAATATATATCTAAGACATGAAAACAAATTTTCAGTACATACCAAAAATTTAAATCATAAATAACAAACTAGACTAAAATAACACAAAGCGGGTACATTAATTTAAGGACAATAACACAATACCTACTGATTATAACACAAATCTGGTACATTATTCTAAAGACAGGTACTAATTTTGTGTCCGATCTAGGCAGAAGGAGCTAATTGTATCTTGTCTTGCAGTAGTGGTTCTGATGGGCCTACATTAAATTTTATTGATGATAGGATCCAAAGCTGATGGTAGCACCCAACCCTCTTTTCTATTGCAATTAGGGTGTTTTTTAATTTTGGTAAATTTGGTTTGTTTCGTCTTCAATTGAGAGATCTTTTGAATCTCCTCTCAGAGATTCATTTTTAGGTCCTCTTTAATACGTTTATACTTGAAACTCGAGAAAACTTGTTTCTTTTTAAAATTTTAATTTGCAGCGGAAAACATAGCTGACAAAATGTGAAATTTTATTGCTTTGTCATTCCCCAACAAATAAATAAAATTCTGTACAACAGTTTTTGAAAGATTTTTTTGTCACATGTAACAAAGATATGTAAGTAAAACCAATCTAGGTACGTGTAGCGTCTATGCCACAACAAACGGAATTGTTAGTTAGAATTCAAAACCCTCTATTTTTTACTGCCACTGTAGGCAGTCATTTGATCTTGACAGGTTACTGGTATTTTGTCTAATAAATAATAAGTTAATTAACCAGTATCTTTACCCGACTGCGCCGTATATATAATTGCTTGGCGCGCTCTGCAGTCTGAACGGCATGATGGATTTTAGCCTGAGAGGTCTCGTTGGATTCGTATTTACTGTGAGAGTGACACTGGTTATATCAAAATAAAAAAATACACAGAAACGCAGTCGGGTTTTTTTAGTTTTTTAAATTATACTCTACTTGTTTAATATTTGATGTTAACGCAACTAATAAGAGGAAACGCGTCTGCGATGACGTCTTCTGGCGCCTGCGGTGAGCGTTCCACTGACCCTATCCCAACTTTTACAATACATTTTGTGCTTATTAATAACAAAAGCAAGATTGTTGGAAACATTGCCATTCCGTTCCTGAGCTCCGGCGGTTTCCGCTGGTTCATTCAACTCGCGATGATACGGTCCTCATATTTTTGTTTGTGCGACGACGTAGCGAATTATCTCACGTACCTTTTTAAATGCGTCGACATTTCATCTGACGGAGACGTGAACTTGCCAACATGAGAATCCAACGAGAACACAGCTGATAAAACAGCCAACGCTAATTGAAAAAATATAGTTTCCAACGTATAGTCTAATTTCTATGTGTATGCCATTATTGAAAATGTTATATTCTTCTACTTACGGTCATCATCATCCTTCTTCCCTCACCCAGGTGGGGTCAGAACAACATGTGAATTATGTTGTAAGCGGTTTTGACTAGGTTTTTTTACGACCGGCCTGCCTGACGCCAACCCTTCTTGCGAAACAATCACCCGCATCCGGTACAATTATCTAAATGTCACACAAATATTTGTGGTCCCGTGTGGGAAGCGAACCCACGACCCCCGACACTAAAGCCTTACTTAGCGACGGCGGCACGCAGTCATTCGTGTATTTATGGTCTCTAATTATTATTTGAATACCATCGTTCAAAAACCATAAATTTTATATGTATGACGCACTTGATAAGTATTAAAATTAATAATATTACGTGGATAAAATATTTTTTGTCCACACGGAGCGTTAAAAGAGTTGTTTTGTGTTTGCACAAATCACCAGTCAGATAATAGCTACCGATCGAGCCGAGGTCCGGCCCTCTCGGGCACCCTCGAATCTGAATGCTAAACGCGTGCTGAGTGACAGCCCAAGCCGAGGTCCCCTCTCGGGGACCCTTGAGCCTGATCACTCCATGGAGCGCCCGCCAAAGCGCCCTAAGAGCTTGGCGGCCTCCCAAACCGGTAACAATAATAGCGTGACGGCCCGAGCCCTCGAGCTTAGTCACCATAACGCGTAATAACACAAATGGCACAAATCATCTGCGACTTTAGAATCTTCCTGCATGATTGGGGTGTAGAACGGGTTGGATTATACGAGTAAGTCCCAAATTCAAATCATTTATTAATCGAAATAAGATATCGGTTTCATCTATCGATAGTCATTTTTCCGGGTTCCGTAACCAAATGGTAAAACTGAACTCCATTAACAAGACTCCGCTGTCTGCACGTCTTCCACCAGGCTGTATCTCGTGAAACGTGATAATTAGACAGTTCAAATTTTCACAGATGAGAAACCCAAACCCGTGGGTTATGGCTAGCCCACCGGTTCTGCGTCAGATGAAGCTTTAATAGTCTCGGGACTGAAAGCAAAAACAACAGTTAATACAAGATGCAAGATACAGATGAGAACAATATTTAAGTGTAATGTAATTATTAAGGCTTTCCATACAACCTTCAATAGTGGTAAGGAACCCTTAGTGCGCGAGTACGACTCGCACTTGGCCGGTTTTTACTTCTGACAAATGAGAGTTGTTTAATGTAAGAAAAATAATAATACAAGAATGCTTCCAACCGGAGCCTTTCCCACGGATTTTTATCTATTTAAAACATGCCTCGATAATGGTTCAACACGTTGTTCGATCTCAGAGGTCACTATTATCTAAGAAGGAATATTTTAAGACAATTATCACAATGTATATTTTGTATTTCTACTTTTATTACTATTAAAAAGTTACTAGTTACATTTAACTTATCCAATATAAGTTTTATATTCTATTGGATTACAAGTAGCCGCCCAGTATGGATATGCGTCAATCTACGGCAAAAAAAGATGATAATATAGACATAGATATAGACTTCATTTTTCGTTTATTGTTTGATTATTCATTTTTTTATTCTTAATCATATGAACCGTATTATTATACATAATTACGAACCATGTATAATATTATTATTTACGATACAAGAAAGAATACATGTCACATATACACTGATTTGTTTTGACTAAAACGACATTTTGAATCTTTGAATTAGCGAAGCGGCGCTAAAACCCCCCAGTTAGTTAATTATTATTGTTAGTTAACAAATTGATAAAATAGAAAATCAATAATCAGCCGTCTCGACGGTCCCCAC